AAAATCACGGGAGTTTTTTTTATATATAATTTTTAAGTACGCAATGATCTTAGAAATTCAGGAAAATATTCTCCGTAATCTGATATTTTATTCAATTTTAGAAATGTTCACTCTAAATTTACTATAATTATCGCTCTTATTTTCTGAAAATGTCTTGCATGATCGCCCGTACGTAGAAAAATCGGCTCGTTTATACAGACACACAAAAATTCAAAATTCTTTAAAAAAATATTGGTGTTAAAGCGTTTCTATTTATGATTGATAAATATAATTTTCACTTAATAATATCATTTAAAAGGCTGAATTAATACAGAAATAATAACAAATAAAAAAAAATTCCTGTAAAAACAGACGTAGCAGGCTTGGGTACCTTTTTATTGGACCATGAATTGTTGAATATGCCCTACTTTTTTAAATCGCTAAAAAAACTGACTTTCCCATAAAAACACAATAACGTAAAGAACATTCATAATAATATTTACTATTGAATTAACAGATGTGAATTTAACGAAATATCTTTTGACTCGAATGAGAAATCAAGTGACAGCATAACCCAAACATGTTCAATTTGGAAAAAGCGGATGATTTCCTTATAAAAGTAGTTTATTCCTTGAATTTTCGGTGGGAATTTGTGCCTCTTACAGAACATGTGAGGCTGAAACATCTTGGAATTTGAAGCTGCTTACTTACTTCTCTCTCCTCCACTTACAGGTAGTCGATAAAATTCCTCTACTTACGTCAACAAAACAAATTCATTATTACTCGAATTCTTTTTAAGATAATAGATAGTATCCGTAATATATTTTATTTATAAAATTAATTAAAAGCTTTTGTAATTAAACAATGTCATAGATTCATTGAATTCTTTTATTTTACGCTTAAGCGGAGATTTTTAGTAAATTGTGTTTCTGTTTGACAAAAACAAATCGATGATTTAAATTCTCCAAAGACTTTTTCTTTTAATTAATATAATTATAAAGAGGGTGGAATTAAGCAAGTGATAGTAATGTCGGAGTTATCTCCTCCTTAATTCCCAAATTGTCACTAGGGCTCATTCTCCCCATACCATAAATACTGTGTGATTTCTCGCCTCGTTCTCTTTTTCATTTCTTCATTTCAGCGACTACAATGTAAGCTCTCTTAGAAGATCCGCGTCATCCCATTTGTGGGAGACGCCATGAACATTATACACATTTACACGTACGTACGAACATTCGCCAAAATACAAACGTTCACCAAAGAACAAGCACCATTGTTACACACACACACAAATGTCATTGTCCATTGTAAAATTGTTTTGTTTGATACATATTTGTTTATATATATATATATATATATATATATATATATATATATATTGCTACTATGACACGAGTCTTATAATACACTTTCTCCCGCCTGGTCTATATTTGCTTAACCCTTTCTTTCTCTTGGCGACCCAATTTCACCCGGCTTACTAAACGGAAAACGCAACGCCATTTTCAATTAATTAACACTCTCTTCTTCTGGACTGAAATAGATAAAGTGTGAACCACATGTCAAAAGGCGACTTACTGTCCTTTATCTTCATTCTGCAACATGAACAAACTAAGAATTTGCAAGTACGATATTCAATCGACAATAATAGCAAATTCTCTCAAACATACATACGACATTCAGTAGAAATTCTACATCAGCTGAACTCTACCACAATGCTGCTTCTATAACATTTGGGGCGTCAACTTTATCCACACATAGCAAGCAAAGAAGCTCTTTTTCAAACATAACTACGGTCGAGAAACAATACGACGGGACGACAAAGCCAATTCAACGTGGGGCAATGGAAAAAGACAAATTTTAATAGCACACGCTGAAAACTACTGACGTTTCTTCCAGGATGTGCTCCGACTCTGACGCGATAGAGAAAAACATACAGCACCCTGATGATTGCACAAGTACATTTCGTCGAATCGCGCATTTCAAAAACATTCCGACATTATTTTCAGTTCACAAGTAGAATATTCAAAACTTCCATGGACTTTTTACATATTCGAAGTTTTCATTCCTAAAACTTTCAAACTGAGATGGGTATTGTCGGAGTTAACTCCACCTTAATTTCCAAATTCTCCCCGTACTATAAATACTGGGTGATTTCTCGCCTCATTCACGTTTTCATTTCTTTATTTCAGCGACTACAATGTAAGCTCTCTTAGAAGATCCGCGTCTTCCCATTTGTGGGAGGCGCCATGACCATTATACACACATACACGTACGTACGAACATTGAGTTAAATACGAACATTGAGCAAAAAATGAACATTCACCAATGAACAAACACCAATTTTACACACACAAATGTTATTGTCCATTGTAAAATTGTTTTGTTTGATACATATATTTGTTTATGTATATATATATATATATATATATATATATATATATATATATATATATATGAATGTCGGTCTTGTCTGTCATCTTTATCTTCAGTTGGACTTAATTCAAGTCCGACATTATTTGTTAATATCTTAATACGCACGCCGTACACTATTAACCCAAAAAACTTTTATAAAGCAACAAAATTTGTGATTAGACCTGATGAAAGTACAAAATCACAATGTTAATTCACTACAACATTTCAGTTCAATTTCTCCGGCGCGGCAAATAGAATTTTTTCTACAACACGTGGAAATCACAGAAGCTCGAATCGAAACAACAAATGCAATTGCTACTATGACACGAGCTTTACAATACTCTTTCTCCCGCCTGGTCTATAATTGCTTAACCCTTTCTTTCTCTCGGCGACGTTTGACCCACATTCAAGTCCGCCATTTCTTGTACCTGGACCTTCTTCTAGCAGGAAAAATAAAGGCACGTGTTTTCTTTTCATCTTCACGACCCCGGTCCTATACAGTAACATATGTAAAACATATATATATATATATATATTACCAAGATTTTCTAAAGAAACGTAATTGAAAAATAATTTCCTTCCTTTATGAATAAATGCTGAAAATTTAATTATAATCCGACACTTATTTGGTTTTACCAAGAATTTCCAAAACAATTTGTTTTTAACGGCAAAAAGACGGTAAAAATCCTTCTATCGTTATCGTTTGTCCACTAGCTGACGAAAAAAAATAAGATTTAACCAAAATTTTGAACCTGCTAGAAAAGATTAAAAATTTTAAAAGAATAATAAAAAACATCGGTTTTCCTCTTTATAACAACAAATATTTGTTTTTCTCAAGTTTGGTCAGGATCAATAAAATTGCTGATTCTTCTTTGGATTTTACCAAGAATTTCTAATTACATAGCAGGAGAACCAGACCAAATGTGGCAACAGTATCCAAAGCAAGAACAAACAGCGAACTTATAAAGATGTAAGATAGATTTTAGTGAGAAGAACTATCACGGCCCAGGGAACCATCTCTTAAGGTATAAATAATTTACACTGAATTTCTAAAAACCTTATTTAAATTACTGTGTAAATTCTCTTTTTGCAATTTCAAATTTCGCTACAGTGTCCCCTCAGGAAAGCATCGTGCCTTGAAAAACTGTTGGGCCTCAAGTTCGTCCCTAACCTCAAGTGGAACTTGTATATACGAGCCATTGGAGGGAAAATGGTCGGCTCCGTCTACGGCTCCCTCTACGGCTCCAGTAGGAACCTGACTCCTGTTATTCTCTATAGTTACAAAAGCAAGATCAGGCAAAATTTGGAATACTTTTGTCATATTTGGTCGAGAGCCCTCTTTGCAGAAAAATCATTTTCGGCATTCCAACCTCTCTTTCACAGGATGTGGTTAGCCTCTCGCTGCTCTATCGGAACTTTCACGGAAAGTGCTCGGACGAACTACATTCCCTGGTCACGCCAGTTGAAACATTCACGGCAATGAGCTGCCATGCCACGTGCATAGTAGCAAACCGCCCACATATGTTTCGTCTTCCATCGATAAGAAGTAAATTCCACCCGAACAGCTTCTTCCCGCAAACTACTTGTTCTGTGGAACAGACTCCCAAGAGGATGTTTCCCAGATCACTGTGAGCTTAGCCTGTTCAAGTCTAGGTTTAACCGTTATCTTCCCCTTCTATCTGCGCAAATTGCCTCCTGACTTAACCCTCTACTTCCAGTGGCCCCCGAGCCTTGTACAAAGTGAACCTTACCGTATATATATATATATATATATATATATATATATATATATATATATATATATATATATGTTATCTGGGTTTCAGGAACACATTATTTTACTTAGTGTTTATTCGTACTTTTGCCCGGGGGTATGTTAGGCGTCAAGTCGGCGACCGCAGAAGAACACCACCTCCTTTTTTATTTTTTATTTTTTTTGGGAAACTGCTAGCTCGGCGTATTTTCACTTCACCGAATTCATTAGAACGCCGATAGTTGATGGTCCAGAGATTATCGGAAAGAAATTATTTATGTGTAAGAGAAGAGTAATTGTGCAATGGTTAAAGAATAGTTTAAGTTTCAAAAAGTAAAGGATGCAAAATGGGAAATACAAAACAAATTTGTAAACGTAGCTTGAGTTCTGGTAATTCAGATAATGAAAGTTGTTTGTCTCAGTGGTCGACTGGGAAGGGTGTCACCTTGCCCGACGGCAAGTGCGACCCTGATGAAATCGGTTTCCTATATGAAATAAAAATGCAATAAAGAAAAATACATAGACAACTCTACCTAGTCTTTAAGAATTTAAGCGCAGTACTAGATTGGCGGCTAGGTCTCATCATTTTACCTGTGAATTGGTGACATCTAACCATGAGTTCTTTCTCTACATTTTCTTTCATCACCTGTGCAATTCTCGTCTAGCTTCTTTTGCTTCCCATCCAAATTTAAAAATTTAAATACAATGTCAATAGTTATCAACCCTCTTCCTGATTTCTCCTCTTATATTGTTTTTGCTCCTTAATGTATTTTTTCTTATATGCTATCACACTCGGTTTCCCTTAGTGTCTTAGTAGCCATATTGTCTTGCTTGATGTGCTGGAATGATTAAAAAGTTATAGAAAAGGTAAGCATAGTTTTGAACAGGTAAATATGTGTCTATTTATAATTGAGTAAGAAGAAGAAGAAGATGAAGAAGAAGAAGAAAAAGGGGAATGCAGACGGAGGGGCGGAGAAGAAGGATGGGGAGGAAGAGGAGAAGGCGAAGAAAGAGGAAGAAGAAGAAGGAAGAGGGTAAGATCAGCAGTAGGAAAAGGAGGAGGCAAAGAAGAAGAAGAGGAAAGGATGGAAGAGTGGGATGAGAAGAAGAAGAAAGAGAGGAAAAGCAGAAGGAGGGGCGGAGAATAAGGATGGGGAGGAAGAGGAGAAGGTGAAGAAAGTGGAAGAGGAAGAACGAAGAGGGTAAGAGCAGCTGTAGGAAACGGAGGAGGCAAAGAAGCAGAAGAAGAAGAGGAAAGTATGGAAGAGGGGGAGAAGAAGAAGAAGAAGAAGAAGAAGAAGAAGAAGAAGAAGAAGAAGAAGAAGAAGAAGAAGGAGGGAAATGCAGAAGGAGGGCGGAGAATAAGGATGGGGAGAGGAAGGTGAAGAAAGAGGAAGAGGAAGAAGGAAGAGGGTAAGAGCAGCAGTAGGAAACGGAGGAGGCAAAGAAGAAGAAGATGAGGAGGAAAGGATGGAAGAAGGGGATGAGAAGAAGAAGAAGAAGAAGAAGAAGAAGAAGAAGAAGAAGAAGAAGAAGGTCTTCCGTAGCATTAAAAAAAAATGTTATATTTTCTAAATGCAATATGTACTTTTCGCTTATGGAACTCTTCCTGCTTCTTGCTTCCCATCCAACTTTGATCTTCAAAAATTTAAACACAATGTCAATCGTTATCTACTGCCATTCTGATTCCCATATTTTATTGTTCTCGCTCCTTAATAATGTTTTTATTTTCCTTATGCTTTGATATTCAGTAACCCATTTTGTCTTAGCGATTTGTCTTTTTTGTGGTGAAATGATAAAAAATAAGAACTTTAAAAAGTTATTTGCATACTATCAGTTTCTCAAGTCCAGTGCAAGATAACATTTTCAAAACTAAAGATCCTAAAGACAAAGTTTAGAAATTCGCTATCTGAGAAGAATTTGGAATGTTGCTATCCATTGAATAGGAATTGTTAGATGAATTGGATGCATAAGTAATTACTGGCAGATTCACAGAATCATCGAGTGAATACAAACGATTGCTTTTAATATTATGGACTGCATGCAATTCTCTGCTGTGTTTCTTAACTCTCGGTTAATGTGTAAAATGTGCCATAAACTATTTCAAAACATCAACCATTTATTTAAAATTAAAAAGATAATTAAAAATTCAATTATATCATTCAGTATTTACATTTAATATCTACTGCTAGGAATATGTACAATACATATTCCATATGTATTTTTGGAAAACTTTTATTTATTCCTTATAAAAAGAAAATAATAGCATTGTAGTTGTAAGTTAGACTCATTTTGTCTCCTGGCAACCAATATTTTTAGACCCATCCGCCATTTTAACTGAAACCTCATAAATCTCAATGAAAAAAATCTAATATCGTAATTGTCTGTAAGAATATTTCGGTTAAAAATTTCTAAGTTTATTGCTTCTGAAAACGAAGTTCCTTCTGCACTGATTCCGTCATTATCAAAGAAGAGTCTGCAAAGACATTTTCTATTCCGCTATCGATTACGAGATAAGAACAAATTATTCAATCGTAACTGCAATATTCTGAGAAAAGGAAATTTAATAAGATAGAAATATATTGGTACTTCCATGGATTCGTCAAAAATTAGCAAACGATGATGAAAAAAATGGTCCAAACTTTAAAAAAAAAAAAATTATAACCATAATCTTTCAGTATCTGCCTATATTTCTGAGATGAGGTATTATGTACATTATTTACATTATTCGGACTATTGTCCTCATCTTTGTCGCCATATTTATTACAACGTTTCGGCCGTTGTACGCTCCGACCTTCTTCAGGTGGTTGGAATGTTGAACTGAACCCTTTATTTCGCTCACATTTAAATGCAATGTCAATCGCTATCTACTGTCCTCCTGATTACGCATTTCCCTTTCCACTGATTATTAATGTTTTTGTTGCCAATTGCTCTTCACCCTGTAACTCTTTGTGTTTTAGTTGTTTTACTGTCTTGCATGGGTTGATACCGATTACATATCTATCTATCTATCTATCTATCTATCTATATATATATATATATATATATATATATATATATATTAATTCAATCAGAAAACAGAGGACCTTAAGGGTCCATTGATTATATTTTATTTCCCGAGGTATGTCTTTATTTTGCTGGTTCCACAGATCACATTTCCAAAAGTAAAAAAACATTGACATTGAGATTTCTGGATTATCTTCTCTCTGGGATTATCCATACGGATTGCCAAACTTTTCATATTATATATATATATATATATATATATATATATATATATATATATATAGAGAGAGAGAGAGAGAGAGAGAGAGAGAGAGAGCCACGGTGGAATAATGGATTGAGGGATCGGAAAGTCGAGTTCGAATTCCAGTTGAATCCATTACATTCACTTATGTGCTAATAAACTTGGGAAAGGTGTGAATCTTCTTCTCCCTCCAGCTATGGGTAAATAGCAGGACAGCCTTAGATAGCAACTGGTCTAGGAAAACCCTGAATTCAAAACCTGCGGAGGGTCGTTTGGAGACCTTGTGGCACGTAGTGCACCAGGTCTCTGTATTCGGGCTTTGAAAAAGAGTGGATGGTCCTGCACGAAACCTTCACAATTATAATCAAATCTTATGTGCTGTTGTCGGGCTGTCGGTTTCCCTAGAACTGATCTGCTTGACCCTCATACGTCGAAATCGACGGGAGAGTCAGGTATATATATATATATATATATATATATATATATATATATATATATATATATATATAAATCGATTCTCCCGTCGAGTTCGACGTATGAGGGTCAAGCAGATCAGTTTCCAGGAAACTGACAGCCCGACACCGGCACATGAGATTTGATTATAGTGGTGAAGGCCTCGTGCAGGACCATCCACACTTTCTGAAGGGATGAATACAGAGACCTGGTGCACCGAATGCCACAAGGTCTCCAAACGACCCTCCTCAGGTTTTGAATTCAGAGTTGTCCTTCTCCTAGACCAGTTGCCATCCAAGGCTATAGAACCCAGTCTGTCCTATATATATATCAATTAAATAAATTATATATATATATATTTCAACCTTGCTTTGAATATTGCTCCCACATCTTGCCTGGTGCTCCTGCTATATACTTAGAGGTTTTTCAAAAAATCCAAAGAAGAATCTGCAATTTCATCTTGGATTCAATCACTCTCCCACCTCAGTAATATACTTTACTTGTGTCTTTTCTATGAATACGAATAATCTGTAGTTCCGAGCGATTTCGGTTAATCTATTAGACGGTTTTTTTCTGTACATATTTTATCAATAGAAATGTTTAATTCTCAAACATTGTCCGCACATTGTGACCGTATCCATAATTAATATAATTAATAAAAAAAGACCAACTCTTAATAATTAAATCATTGTTTTCACTAAAAAAATATGTCTACATATTAAGAAAAACGAAATAATCCTTGATTGAACGAAAGAGCTCGCATTCAAAGATCATTTGGATTTCTCTTAAACACTCTCTGTCTAAAAAAGATGCGCGCGAGTGTGTGTGTGTGTGTGTCTACCTGCCTGTCTTGAAAGAGAAAGTGTATGAGTAACAAAAGGAGAATGAAATGGGAATTAATTAAGTTTACTGATTTACGCAGGGAAACAACTGATAAAATTTACTACGAGTAAGTATGAATGAACATAAAAGAAAGATATTTAATGTATGAGTTTGTAAAAGAGGAAAAAAAAACTGAAGAAAACCTGACGCGTTACATGAAGGAGAAAAAGAGCAAGAGACACAAACATGGATTGCATTGTGCACAAAACACAGAATATATATATATATATATATATATATATATATATATATATATATATATATATATATATATATATATTCATAGATGCATGTTTCATTGAATAATATAGACAAGTGTTGTCTATGTATTTTATGTAAATTCTTTTTATATCGTCTGTTAAGCTTAACATTATCATTGAACGAAGAAAAAAAATCACAATATTGATACATGTTTTTTAATCCAATCTAAGCTTTCGGCTTACATAAGCCATTATCAAAGATGACAATTACATTACAATATGTTAAGCAATACATGGACAAGAATGTGATAATTGACTGTTTCTGTTTACATGGAAGATTTCCAAGCAACGACAAACTTGAACATATAAGACGCTGGAGACGAAAATCGCACCGCAGCTCATGACGTTACATATGACCACGCGAGAGTGAAAACGTAAAGTATTAAGTATGGAAAGCCGTTGGTATAAACCAATGGCTTCTGTTATCAATTATAGGCATTTGAGAATATTTGTGGAGATTTTGTAGTTTATTTTGTTCAGGTTAGGTTTCAACTGTTTTATGTATATAGCTTCAAGAATTTTTAGTTTTTGTTTATTGTTTTCATATTTAATAATAATGTTATTAAGCTTATCAGACGATATCAAAAGAATTTACATAAAATAGACAACACTTGTCTATATTATTTAATAAAACATGCATCAATGAAAAAATGCTGCCTACATACACACACACACATATATATATATATATATATATATATATATATAAGCATATATATATATATATATATATATATATATATATATATATATATATATATATATATATATATATATATATATATAAGGTCTTTTTAATTTGTAGGAACAGACGAAAGCTTGGAATGCAACTGGAATTTATAAACAGGGATCATATCATTCATATACATGTTCAGGGTTGGTGTATCTTTTTTTTATTGTTTCCGATGATGTATTCTCGCCATTTAAATCATTAACCTCTATATTTGTTTTTTGTATGAATGATTCATGAATTGATATATATATATATATATATATATATATATATATATATATATATATATATATATATATATATATATAAATTATAGTCATGTCTGTTATTTCACATGAAGCACCTATTTTATTTCTTCCTTTAGGACTTCCTTGGACTAAATTCCTTATTATGGGGTGACTAAACATGTGTTCCAATAAGGGATGCTGGGAAATTTAAATTATATTTTTTAATCTAGCCGATTTCATTTAACATATATACTCGCGTGTCATGTGACTTTTGAAGATCTAATTTTGAAGCTAATTTTAAGGAAGTCGCATCAAACACGAGATACAGCAGTACATACGCTAATTTTATATCTCGTGTATGAGGCGACCCCCTTAAAATTAGCCATCCTGGGTATGATGATAAACTACGTCCAACAGGAAGGCTCCTGATCAGGAGTTTTTGAGGAACGTAGAACCACCTCTTAATTGCTGTTGTTCCCAGTTTCATCCTGACCCGTGGTGGTAGCACCTATTAGGGTCTTAGCAATGGGCAATTAGATAACCCCGAAAATGAGGTAAACAGCCTTATGAAAGTGTAAAAAATAGGTTTTCTTACCAGAAATACTTTGTAAAAAATGATTACCAGCAGTACCTTATTTCCAGCAAGACATTATTAAAAAAAAAAAAGTAATACATTTTTTACCAGAAATAATTTTTTTTTAAATTATTAGTAGCAATACATTATTGAAAAAAAATATTACCTGCAATATATTTTTTAAAATAATATTACCAGCTACAGTGTACCCGGATATAAGAGAGTTGTCGGGACCGGATAAGAAGTCACTTATATCCGGGTTACTCTTATATCCGGGTTTCTTATATCCGGGTTACACTGTATATATTTTTGAGGAAAAAAATATTACCAGAAATAGATTTTTGACAAAACAAAATATTACCAGAAATAGATTTTTGACAAAACAAAATATTACCAGAAAAAAAAAATTGTCGTCATTACCCGTTGATAAATAACCGTTGATAAAACAAACCAAACCAAAATTTAAAATTAGCTTCAAAATTCGCTCTTCAAAAGTCACATGGTACGCGAGAATATACGGTATAGTTTGGTCAACGGCGTAGACATGTACATAGGCTGATTTTATATCTTGTGTATGATGTGACCTCCTTAAAATTAGCCTTAAAATTGGGTCTTCAAATGTCAAATGGTTCGCGAGTATTTTCGGCAGATACTTTTTCTTAGAGATTCCATCACTTTTGTTATTAGATATCCTAAACTTTGATAATAGAAGTTCTGCCAGGAATAGTGAAATGTTGTAAAATCCCGGGGGTCAAATTTACTGTACATGACTTTGCGATCAAGGCAATTTCTAGATATTTTCGTCGAAGTGAAGTCTTTCTCTTTTGATCAGAATAGCATATTTATGTCAAAATTGTGGTCAGTTTTGTTACTCAGGATGAAAGCTGATCAGAACAATTGCCTTGAAAATATTTGTAGAAAAGCCAGAAGGGTAAACCACGTCACATCGGCGAGAAAGTGACTGAAGTCGATGTGCCTGATCAGGATCGATTATATTACAGAGCTTTCTTTTAATGTTGCACCTTCAAAAATCAATATATTACGTACTGGTCACCTTAACACTATTTGGAACGCGGCATGGGTCCGCAACTTTACAACCTATAGTTCATCCCCAAAATAATACAGTACCTTCGTCTTAACCTATGAGAGCTTCTGCAGAATAAAGCAACAAAAAATCTCAAAATGTCTCGCACAATGTTTCCTATGAACAATTCTCTGTACAAAAAATATTTATTCGGCTATGACTACATTAAACTCTTTAAAATCTTCTCAAGCGATAAAATAGCTTAAATTGAAGACGTTAAAATCAATCAAATTCTTCTTCTATGTGTGTTGTCCCTCCAGGAGGTTGGAGATCATGACTCTCCACAATTTCTCGTGAAATGAAAATAATTATTACAAACTACAAAGCATATGATAAATTTTGTCATTTTTGCCATCTCTCCTAAATCCTCTTTCGTCATCCAATTAGCTATTAGGCTAGGCTTTGATTTCCCTTGTCCCCTTTTTTGCGGGCAATCATTTGGGGGATTATGATGCTCTCCGGAATTTGAAAATTGAGATTTCAATACCGCCTAGAATGATTTTCAGCGGAAGGAGAAAATGGGAAAGATGGCCGTTTCACAATTCGCCTACGCATTTTAAGCGACTTATTATCGATTTTTTAATCTAGTGTATTTCGATGTTTTACGTGTTCCGATTCGTTTCTTTGAATTTGAGAATGTTCGTTAATTCTCATGTCATTTAAAGATTGCGCGCCTTGACACTGAATTTAAAAGCTTTGGGAGAAATGGAAAAAGTTCCGGACAACACCACAGACTAATATTTTGTCCGGTATGTATATATACAGATATATATGTGTGCGATTGTCGCCATCTTATATTTTTAATTTGGCGAATATGTTATTTTGTTTTTGATTTTATCGACTGCACAGTATAGAAGGGTTAGTTGGGCACCATGACGCAATTTACTGCGCCAGAAATTTGAAAAAGCCACTGTACTGCTTGACATTCTCACCGGAAGCTCCAATAAGAATATCTCAAAGTGTTTGAGCGTCAATCTGAGGACAGTGCAGAGGATTCGGAAATAGTTAAACGAGAAACCAACAAAATTCCGTGTAACAACAAAAATGAACTGAAGGCAAGGATTATGCCAGCGTTCACCAATTTAAACAAGGAGTACATCCAGAAGAGTTGCAGGAGATTCCGAAGTCGTCTAGGGGCCGTGATTTTTGCCTATGGTGATTTTATTGAATAAATGTAATCTTTAGTACTTCAAGATATTTATGTGTTATTTTCGTAAATATGAAATGTCTGTATTATTTTCATTTTTGCGTAATTTAGACAATTCATCCATCATGCCCTATATATATATATAGATATATATATATATATATATGTGCATGTGTGTGTGTGTGTGTGTGTGTAGCAGTGTAGTATGAGTTACGAGTAAAATTTTCCAGTGGTAAAACTGTTTTTAACTGTATATTCAATGCTCGTTTGTCAAAACGGGCGTTGAGAAATTTTACTCAAATATAATTAAACTTATAAAAGAATAGTTTTAAGCACTGGAAGAAAGAGCAAGAGAAAGAGGGCACTCGCGCTCGTGTGTGTGTGTGTGTGTGTGTGTGTGTGTGTCTGTGTGTGTGTGTCTGTGTCTGTGTGTGTGTGTGTATGTATGGATGTATGGATGGATGTGTGTGTGTGTGTATGTATGTATGGATGGATGTATGGATATGTGTGTGTGTGTGTGTGTGTGTATGTATGTATGGATTGATTTATGGATGTGTCTGTGTGTGTATCTATGTATGTATGGATGGATGTGCGTGTGTATGGATGGATGTATGGATGTGTGTGTGTGTGTATGTATGTATGCATGGATGGATGTATGGATGAATGTATGGATGTGTGTGTGTGTATGTATGTATGTATGGATGGATGTATGGATGTGCGTGTGTATGGATGGATGTATGGATGTGTGTGTGTGTGTGTATGTATGTATGTATGTATGTATGGATGGATGTATGAATGTGTGTGTGTGTGTGTGTGTGTGTTTGCGAGAGAGAGATAGAAATATGACAAATAAAAGATGAGATGAACGTGATTGGTGAACCAAAGAAATAGAGAAAAAAAGAATACTGCGACTGATAGAAATTAACTTATGGAGACACCTATATATATATATATATATATATATATATATATATATATATATATATATATATATATATATATGGAGACACCTATCCATATATATATATATATATATATATATATATATATGTGTGTGGGGGGAGGTGTTTGTTTGTTTGAGAATTACAAATGAAATAGAAGTTGTCCATAGCCGGAAGTGACAGCATTATCTAGTTTCCACAATGAAGAGTACTGCCCGCTGAGAAAGGCTCTCCTTATCGTCTCTCAACCAGTGCGTCTTGTCACAACCACCGACAGGGGGGCGCAAAGTATGATGGATATGTTTTTCTCTCTGTAAAAAAAAAAAAAAAAAGAAAAATTATTTAAATATGTTTATTTGAAATCTATTTTCTTTCCGTATTTGCATTTTCTAAAGTCAACGTTTTATAACATATGAACTTAAGAATTAGGTGATATTTTTGCCTAAAACTATTAACAATGATTTGAAAGGCTCTGGTATTTGATTTACATTGGAAAATACTTCATAACGGAAAATCATATTAATAAAATCTTTATTATGCGCTGTCTTTGGCAAAAACCTTTTAACATATCACGTATATTAGGGCTGTGACACATTTGCCTGACCAGAGAGGATTAAGCGTCTTTTTTTCTATAGTAAGATTCACTCTGTACAGATCCGGGGTCACTTCCGGTAGAGGGTCACGTTAAGGGGTACTTTATATGGAGAAGTGGGGGAAGATAACGGTTGACTCTAGACTTGAACAGGTTAAGATTGTAGTAATCGGGGAAACATCCTCTTGGGAGTCTGTTATATAGGGCAGTGGTTTCCAGTAATGTGAGTGGTTTGCTAGTAAGTAAGTGGTATGACGGGCCCTACCCGTGAAATTTAGACCAGGTAAAACCAAAGATGCAGTTCCTCCAAGCACTTTCCCTGGTTGTAGCAATAGAACAGTGAGAGGCTCTCTTCTCTGTGTGTGTGTGTGTGTGTGTGTGTGTGTGTGAGAGAGAAAGAGAGAGAGAAAGAAAGAAAGAGAGAGAGGTTGACAAATAATTCTTCTCCAACAAGGACGTATAGATACTTTTGATCGCTATCAGGACTGGAAAGTGAGGTCTGGGCAGCTCCTTCCCAAATATGGCATAATTACCACATTTTCGGCCTGATCGGGCTCTTATAAAGGTAAAGGATAGCATGTGGCTTTAGGTACTTACTGGAACGGTAGAGGAGGCAGATCGTTTTACCTGCATCTTTAACGAAGGACCGTATATAGGAATTCCACTTGAGGTCGTGTGTGAATTTGAGGCCAAGTACGCACTCAAGGCACGGCCCCTCCCCTCGAAGGCTCAGGTAGCACTTAGTAACTTTTGTCTTTTTGCTATACCCCAACCCTTCGTTAAACCATTCCTTCACACATTCCCGTCAGTCACCCGCACGTTTCCATTGTCTGGCATTCGACTTATGAGTGTCAAGTTCTCCGAAACCTTATTTCCTTCTTTCCGTTTTTTTTATTCTGAATATATAAATGTATATATATTGAGGTTTCTTTTAGTATCTACAAAACATCGTTACTTCTTAAGTTTACATTAACATAACGTGGCAATTTGAACGAAATATTAGCATTTGTCATCTAAATTAATGATTATCAAATAAAAACATGCGAAAATAAATCTTATATTTTCTATATAAGGTGTTTCACAATATTTGATTCAAAATGAGTTGGTAAAAATCAAGGACAACAAATAGTAAAGTAATGGAAATTACATTTATGGAAAAGTAAAAGGATAATATTTCGGGGTCTGCAAGCATTTAGTCTCAAACATGAACGAAAAAAAGGAGGCCTAGATTACATGCTCTGAATGTTCGCTATTCAATTGCATGCATTATCGAATGCAAAGTTGTTGATAACGCGAGAATATTCGTCCTGGTTGATTGCTTGAATCTTTTCAATGAAGCGAAGATTTCCAGGGTATACGTTGTCCTTGAGGAACCACCAGAGGAAGAATTCTGGGGATTGGTGGGGGGTCAGGCCAGGCAAGTGAGGACCCGATTCCACTTCAGCTTTGCCTCTGATGAGACGCTTCGCAAACTTTTCACGGAGCCATGCCTTGGTAATATTATCAGTGAGAAGAGGAGCACCATCTTGCTGGAACCACTGTTGCCCACCCTCAAGGTCGTCACACACATATATATATATATATATATATATATATATATATATATATATATATATATATATATATATATATATATAATTATTTATTTAAAAATATGATTCCAAATCGCTACATAAGAGTAAATAAATAAATCTCAAGAGACAAGCAAACTAGACGATGGCCAATACATCTTCCGTTTCATTTTTGACACCCCCACCTTTCCCCGACCTGACACCTTGAACTTTCAACTCAATTTAATTTAAAGGATTATATTGAAGTTTTCGGCTCTTGTTTTGAAACATCAGACCTCTTATGTAGCGATTTGGAATCATATTTTTAAATAAATAATTATATTTATGCTCTAGTTTTGTATCGAGCACTATTTTTTAAAAATAATAACTAAAAGACTAAGGGACTTTTGATTATTTACCTAACCAGTTCCTTCCTATTTTCTATATATTTTCACACACACACACACACACACACACACACACATATATATATATATATATATATATATATATATATATATATATATATATATATATAAAATTCCTTCAGAGGGCAAAACGAGTCACTAAAGAATAGTTTATCCTTTTGTTTTTACATTTCTACAGGCGGTTTCACAATTTTTTTAATCCAAATGATTTGGTATTAATCAAGAATAACAAATAGTTAAGTAATGAAAATTACATTTATTGAAAGGTAAAAAAATAGTTTAGGGTCTGCAAGCATTTAGTCTCAAAAAATGTCAAAAGAAGTCCTAGACTACATGCTCCTGATGTCCACCGTTCAGTTGAAGGCATTGTTGAATGCAAAGTTTTTGATGACGCATGCGCATTCCTCCTGGGTGATCGCCTGAATCTTCACAGTGATGGCTGCCTTCAATGCAGTAGGGGTGCAAGGTTTGCCCTTATATAAATTGTCATTGAAGAATAAGCAGAGGAAGAAATCTCAGCTTTCAAGTCAGGGAAGTGAATTGCCCATTCCACTTCAGCTTTCACAGAGCCATGCCATGGTAACATTAACACTATGAAGAGGAATACCACCCTGCTGGAATCCGTGTTCCTCAACCATCAAGGTCCTCAGTGCTTTTTTTTTTATAGTGGAACACACCTATTCTATAGTTAATAGACTCTCCCACCTATAATAAGTAGGAATAGCAACAGTAACGAGGGATCGCTCAGTGGGTCGGTCTGAATTCAGTCTGAAGTCGGACGACCGGCTGACTGGTTGAACTCTCTGCCTTCGGGCGGGAAGGAACCCGAACGAGGCTACGCCGAAGGGCGGAGTATCTTTCGGGGAGGTAAACCGACCCTGAATCCGTTTATAAGGG